CGTCAATAGTTTTTTTAAGTTTTAACGATAATGTATTAAAATGAAATAAAATAATAAAGTTTGGATACCAAAATGAAATAAAATAATAATTTAAGTACTAAATTTATAGTTTACCCTTATTTTTAATTTTTATAAACTAAATTACTATATTTTAACATACGTGCTTTTGTCCCGTTGTCTGTTGGCATAAACGAACGTGGTTTTTTAAAATTGTTCTGGGTATCCATATGAAGTTTTGAATATAATATATATATAATTCATTATTAATGTCATACTATAAAAATAAATTAATAGATTACTCAACTTGTTTTGATTTTTTTAATTAACAGTAAAGCAGATGATATGCAAAATCCAACGAATATCGAAGTTATTTAAAAACTGTTCATGGGTGGCCACGTTCCCTTTGTTTCCGTTGTTCTGATCTCTTTAGGACAAGTTGAGTTATAATTATATTTCCCCCGGAATCCACGGGCCACGGCCGCGCTGCTGTCATTTGACCCATCATTGCAAATTTAAGGTACATATATTAAAATGACCATCCAGCTCAGTTGGTAGAGTATAAGGTTATTCACTTTGAAATCGTGGGATCGAGTTCTATAGAGGGTATTTCATAATTCGGAGATCTCGTACGAAAGTTGCTCTCAATCTAATATTGAGGGCAGCCTACTATCTTACCTCCCCTTACCCTATTACATATGAGAACAAGGGACAACTATTTGAATTTTAGATTGTATTCATTTTCTGTTGATATTAACTTATAACGAAGGATGATATAAAAATATTTTTATTCATTATAATTACATAAACATGAACGGAGCAAGAGTATCAAATTGAAAAAGGGTAAACATAATTGTTTATAAAGATAGAATAATTCATAATTATTATTTTTTAAAATATTATATAAATTAAGGATAAAAAATATTAGCACCGACACTTTTGAATATGCATCAACCTAATCTTGTAACACACGTTTCCTTTCTTAAAAAAAAATTCCCAGGATAAGTGTCTCAATCTTAATATATAAATATCTATATATTAAGTTCGAATATTGAGCCGTGACTCCCGAGTGAAATTAGTTAATTGATTTCGAAAGATAAATAATCATATTTCTTTGTTGGAAATGGAATGAACCATGGAATAGGCCGGCAGAATAATTGTTTGAATTATCCATTTTATTAGTTTGATAATTTAATTTATAATTTTTATTATATTTTTTAACTTTTTTATTTGTATAATTTGACTCAAATATATAAAAAAATTGATCAGATGATATCAATTGTTTTGATAAAATAAAAATAATTATTTTTTATTATCAAAATATTGACACTAGTTATTTTTAATATTTTAAAATTTATCGATGATGTATTAAAAATGATGAAGTAATTAATGTCAGATTCAAAACATTTTATTACTATTCCATCACACTTGTACCAAATTAATATAATAACAAAAATATTGACACTAGATTAATAGATTATTATGTCTAAAAAGCGTAGTATTATCGTCAGAGAATCCAAGGAGAAAAAGGAAACACGTTAATGTAATGCAAGAAAAATAACCACGTTAAACGGACTGAGGTTGTGTCTCAAGTACATCCCGTTTTTCGTTTTTTGTCGTGAAGGCAAATTGCAAGCTGACAATATAAAACAATTGCAAGTTGCAGCATGAGTGTCTGAAACTTTAGGATTGAACGTCTAAAAAGGGTAAACATTTTAGTAGTTTAAGAACGAAAAAATTATTATCGAAAACAAGAATCGTCCGTCCAGCTCAGTTGGTAGAACGTAAGGCTCTTAGCCTTGTGGTCGTGGGATCGAGTCCATGGTGGGCAATTCATAATTGGAGGTATTCCATGGAAACTGCTCTCAACCTGACATTGGGAGCAATCTACTACCCTACTTTTCTCTTATTCCATTACATATGAGAATAGAGTTAGTTAATATATTATCGAAAACAACTTTCGAATACAAGGAGCAAATCTAAGGGTCTGGGGCCCCTTTGATAAAGTGATTAAATACCTCATAATTTTTTTGCTTCAGTCTCTTAATTTATATATTTTAAAATCTAATTACTATTAACAAAAGATTTTGGACTTTGTCCTTATCCAAACATGAATCATATAAAACAATATGGATGCTAAAAAAAACTTATGTCTAGTTCGATTAAAGAAGTATTAATTTAAGAAAAGGTTTAGTTATTACAAAATAATTAAAATAATTTATCATAAAATAAAAATGAGTATAAAAGTAAACTTCAATTTAAAAGAATAAGTAAAAGCTCTAATAAAAGACAAATTATTTTAATGTTTTATTATTTTTTAAATTAAGTTATTTAGGTAACTAAAAATTATAAAGTGAAATTAAATTATTATTATCTCATATATTAAATATAATGAAGAAAATACTACTACCAATTCCAACATGAAAAATGATATAGTAAAATGCCTTATAATTTATTTATCATTTTTCTTTTTTCTATAAAAGGCGATATGAATTTGATTTTACTCAAAAGCTAAAAGAAAAGGATAAGAATCAAACATTTCTCCGCAAAAGAAGGGGAAGTATTACCTTTTGCGGCTTAATATAATGCTAAAAAAATATGTTATTATTTTTTTAATATTTTAATAAAAAATTATTTAAAATATTATTATTTCTATCAAAAATATTATTATTAGGTGTTTTACTGAATTTATTAACATATCCGATAAAATACTACTGAAATTATTATTTTTTCTAAAAAAATATTAATATTAAACACTTTACTAAAAAAATTAAAAATATTAATATTTTAATTAAAAATAATAATATTTTATATTTTTTTATCAAAAATATTAAAATAATAATAATATTTCTCATAACGTATTTCCTTAATTATATATTATACATTCGTACGACAGAACTGCATAAATAAATTGATGGTGAATTAATCATGTAATAGAAGGGCAAGTGTCTAATCAATCTTCAATAATTGAAGAAAATATAGGGATTTTTAAATTTGAACATTGACCCTGGACCTGGAGAACATGGAATAAATTTCTTCATTGTTTCTTTTGAATTTGAACAATCAAAATGTGCAACGTATCATAACTCTCCCTGTAAATTGAGAATCTCTCTAATACCTTATAGCAGGGAAGCTATACCATGCGACAACCTTAATATATAAATAAAAAATGTTATTGATTTTATTATTATTTTTTAATAGATAAAAAATTAGTTAAAATATTAATGTTTTTTAATATTTTTGGTAAAATGTCTAATAATAACAAAATTAATGAAAAAAATAACAAAATTAATAGCGTTTTATCAGATATGTTAACAAAACCGGTAAAACAATCAATAATAATAAAATCAGTATAAATAATAATATTTTTGATAAATTTTTACCGATTTTATTAAAATTAATAACAAAATCAATAGTACTTTTCTTTAACCGTACATTAAAACCGTCGCACGTAAAATTTCTCTAATATCAACCCTTCAAGAAAAAAAAATCACCAATAGATTTTAAAAGAGTGGTTATCTTTTTAAGAATTTAAAATTTTATAATTAAAATTACATAGAAGCGACACATGTCATCGACCGTTGGAGAAATGACAGACATTGCATGCAAAAATATCTTTCATTTTATTGGTATATTATGTAAGTAATATGCTAAAAATAATTTTATAAATGACACATATCCCCGACAGTTGAATTTTTTTAAAAAAATATTTTTATCTACAATTTTATAAATTTTCTATTTTTTTCACTTACAGTTAATAAAGCTAAAAATAATTTGTTATGTATGTATATATATTATAAAACTCATATAAACTCTAAATCTAAAATTATAAATTTTAAACATCATACTTTAAATATTAAAATTCCAAAATCTTAAATCTTAAATCTTCAACTTTAAACTCTAAATATCAAAATAATAAATCTTAAATATTAAAACCCTAAAGAATGAAAATTTATATTAAGTTTTTAGAAATTATAAACTACAACCTAAAAATTACCGTCTTATTGGACAAAACTTTCGAGATGATGTTCTGAAATAAATTAATTCACGAGCTAATGTACTCCCAAGATTAATTGCTCAAATAGGGTGAAATCCACAGTGTTAGCCGTAGGTCGCCATGCACTCCTGGAGACCTTGTAGGTCGCCATGCACTCCGGGCGACCTACCCTTGCTCAAACAGAGAGAATGAACGTGTTGCATGGCATATGCACGTCCCAACACATAGGTCGCCATGCTCTCCGGGCGACCTTGTAGGTCGCCATGCACTCCGGGCGACCTACCCTCGCTCGGCTTCCCTCGGATTCCCTCGCATAGCTCGCTCGGTTGCCCTCGGATGCCCTTGCATAGCTAGTTCGGATTGCCTCGGTCGGATGGCCTCGGATGCTCTCGAATGGCCTCGGATGCTCTCGGATGGCCTCGTTCGGATGGCCTCAGATGCCCAGCGTGTTGGGACGTGCATGGCACATGCAATCTCTTGTAGCTCGCCCGGAAGACATGGCGACCTAGTAGGTCGCCCGGAAGGCATGGCGACCTACGGCCAACACTGTGGATTTCACTTTATTTGAACAATTAATCTTGGGAGTGCTTTATCTCGTGAATTAATTTTTTCCAGAACATTATCTCGAAAGTTTTGCCATCTTATTGCCTATTCCCAGAATTCCAAAAACTATATATATAAGCCAAACTAAACTAAACAATGATGGTGGATGTATGTGACTCTCTTAGAGAGTTACGGACTGTCACCATAACTTTTTCCAATATAATATATATGTATAAAACTATGTTTCAAAAGACATTCCTGATCACCTCCTAGTTTTTTTTTAATCTGCAAGTTGAAAACAATGAAAAAAAAAAGGAATCAAGTTGCATGATGTGTGTATGAAGCTTTTGGATTTTTTTTTAAAGTGAAAAAAGTAAAAGAGGAATTAGAGAAGGATAGGATAAAGAAAAGTCATGTGGGCTATAATCTGAATTTCATTAAATAATTGAAATGCCGAAACGAATATGCCATTTCCCTCTGCTGAGTCTGCAGTCGTAGCTCTTTAAATCCTCCAGCCAAGCTGCCTCTTCTCTTCACTAACACCCTTCCAACTTTGCTTTAAAGTTTCATCGACTTTTCTTCTTTCTAACCTAGAAGAAACGATGAGCCGAATTAAAGAGATTTTTGCCAATTTTTCTGCTTCTGCCAAACACATTTCCTCCTCCAAGAAAAACAAGAAAATTTTCTTGGCAGTTTTTGCATCTTTAGTCATTGTTGCTGCCATAATCGGCATTGTTGCTGGAGTGAGTTCACGAAATGAAGAACACAATACTTCCCATCACCCCATTGTGAAGTCAGCGTGTAGTGCTACATTCTACCCTGAGTTGTGCTTCTCAGAAGTTGCTAAAGTTCATGCTGGAACCGCCAAGAAGGTGAGGAGCCAAAAGGATGTCATCGAATTGTCTCTTAACATCACTACCACTGCCGTCGAACACAATTACTTCAAAATCAAGAAGCTGTTGGCTCTAAAAGGCTTGACGGAGCGTGAAAAGACGGCTCTCCATGATTGTTTGGAGACCATAGATGAGACCCTCGACGAGCTCCACGAAGCTGTCGAGGATCTTCACCAGTATCCAAATAAGAAGTCATTGATTCAGCATGCCGATGACCTAAAGACCCTGATGAGTGCTGCCATGACCAACCAAGAGACTTGCTTGGACGGTTTCTCCCACGAAGATGCCGACAAGAAAATTCGTGAAGTGCTGATCGATGGCGAGAGGTACGTCGAAAAGATGTGCAGTAATGCGCTTGCCATGATCAAGAACATGACGGACACTGACATCGCGAACGAGATGATGCTCAAGACATCGAACAGGAAGCTGAAGGAGGACGAGAACGAGATTGCCTGGCCGGAGTGGTTGTCTGCCGGTGACAGGCGCCTGCTTCAGTCATCTTCGGTGACCCCTAACGTGGTCGTGGCGGCAGATGGAAGCGGGAACTTCAGAACGGTGTCGGAAGCGGTGGCCAAAGCACCGGAGAAAAGCAGCAAAAGGTATATCATAAGAATCAAAGCAGGTATCTACAGAGAAAACGTGGAAGTCCCAAAGAAGAAGACTAACATAATGTTCATCGGAGACGGAAGAACTAGGACGATCATCACCGGGAAGAGGAATGTGGTCGATGGAAGCACCACTTTCCACTCTGCTACAGTTGGTAAGTCCCTTTTCACTTCCTATATTTTTACATTAATTTACTTTCTTTTCTTTCAGTTACATTTATTTAAAAAAAAACATCGAAGAACTTAGTAAAGTATTACATGTCTCCGGTTCCTGACCGTGACAGTGGAGACGAGGTTTGGGACTCAACATATCCATTCAGAATGATTCACGTTGTGAAATCATATTTGTTTAAACTTTCCTACGTATCTCATTAGAATTAGGAGCGGATCACATGGTATAGTTCACTAAAGGCCAATTCTTCAAACATGATATTATATTTTAACATACAGTTATATTAAAAGAACAAAAGAACACTATGCAAAATGAACAAATAATCCACTAGTTGTCTGGCTACAACTTGTGGACGTCGTTTTCCCCATGACTGTTATTATTTCTAAGCTTGCTTTTGTAGACAAGCTTTGCTTCGTTATTCTAGTGAATGAAATGTAGGGACTTGGGTGGCTTCCCTCCTGCTTCATCGACCTGTATCATTCAATCCTATACCAATTTCCTTTCGTGGATGATAGCTGTTGCTGTTAACTTTTTTATCACCTGAAACCATGTGACAATTTCATGCACTCACATTACACCCGGCACGCCAAGCCAACGTACAGTGCACTATTTTATTTTCTTTGCCCTTTGTGATTAAACACTTCGAAGCTATCCCAATAAGGCTCCAATGGCTGATGTTGGAACGTGGAAGGGCCCTACCAACACATGCTTGCACGATGAGAGTCGTTTAATCGATTCCATTTTTAGAAGACGTGAACAGTCCAATGATATTGTGAGCAGTGAGGCAGCTACATAGTTTGAATCAGAAAGTACAAATTCAAAACAATTGATTTGGTGGTTAGCAATATTTCTTATTAGGCAGCTACCATCATTAAATTGAAGAAACAAGTGCCTTCAGCCAATTTATAGTAGTATTTTGAATAATACAGAATCATATGGGTGCTCATCAGGTTCTACATCATATGCCAAATAGAAACCTTAACCTTTTTTTCACTTGCTGATTTAATCTTACAGTATTTGAAGTTTGATTTTTATGCTGATAATCCTAATATATATGTTCCCATGTGGTTGCAGCTGTGGTTGGTGAAAGGTTCCTTGCCCGAGACATAACCTTCGAAAACACAGCAGGTCCCTCAAAGCACCAAGCCGTTGCCCTCCGCGTCGGTTCCGATCTCTCGGCATTCTACCAATGTGACATGCTGGCATACCAAGACACTCTCTACGTTCACTCCAATCGACAGTTTTATGTCAACTGCCTCGTAGCAGGAACTGTTGATTTCATCTTCGGCAACGCTGCAGCCGTGTTCCAAAACTGTGACATCCATGCTCGGAGACCAAACTCGGGGCAGAAAAATATGGTGACAGCACAAGGCAGGACCGACGCTAACCAAAACACTGGCATTGTGATCCAGAAATGTAGGATAGGTGCCACTTCTGATTTGCAGCCTGTTATTAAAAATTTCCCAACATATCTTGGGAGGCCCTGGAAGGAATATTCGAGAACTGTCATAATGCAATCGACAATCAGTAATGTGATTCATCCCGTTGGGTGGCACGAGTGGAGTGGGAGTTTCGCCCTGAAAACATTGTTTTACGCCGAGCACCAGAACACCGGCGCCGGTGCTTCGACCTCTGGGAGGGTGAAATGGGGAGGGTACAAGGTGATCACTAGTGCAACCGAGGCTCAGGCTTTCACTCCTGGGAGGTTCATTGCCGGTGGAAGTTGGTTAAGCTCTACAGGCTTTCCTTTCTCTCTTGGGTTGTAAAGAGTTTGAAGCTATTGTATTGTCATGTAGCACCCGCTTTGAGATTAATTTGCGGCCATGTACCTGTTAATTATTACTAATTTAAAAAGTAACAATAAAGCAATATTGCCAATTCTTCAAAATTTTGTCTGGTGACACTTCAGTTCTTGACAAATTCCCATGTCAAACAAAAGTTAGCTCTTGCACTTTCATTGTCGGTTTATCATCTCTCCCAAGACTAATTAAAATAGAAAACCTCCATTATATAAGTTTCCAGCTATGGGATTTTGAATAACTCAAAAAGAATTTATTGAAAACGCTTTACCATATTGACAGGTGGAACGTTTAAATGCTGCCGATAATCATACCAGCAGACGCATTTTAATTTCTTAATATTCACATAATGCAAATAATTAAGCAAATTTATTAAGAAATAAAAGTTGGCGCAATCACTGGCATGTTCAGCGCGGAGGTGATGTTTCACGCACATGGTAGAGGGTCGTGTCATTCTTAAGAATCACATTTGAATACGTCCAAGTGAGAAGGACCCAAACATAATGACATCAACTTTCTTTGAATGAATAATACGATTATATAGTTTGATGAAGGAAATTGTCAAACCTTTGAGAAACTATTGCCATCCTTTCTTTTTAATGCATTTTCGAAATCACAAAACCGAGTAAGGATCGTGGGCCTGTATTATATACAATACATTATTTAAGAATAAGACGTGGTTACCAAATTGTCTGTCAGGGACGAGTAATCATTGCTGTTTATGCAATATTTTAAATCTCATCGAAATTTGAATGCAAGATGTGATTATGTCAGAAGCATAAGTATGTATGCTAGTGAATGAAAATAATGCTGTTAATTTATTATGTCCATTTCCATGATCGATCATGATTATAATAATGTCTTAACAAAGAAGCATCCAAGAAAGATCTTACCTTTAACCTTCTTCCTCTCTTTCTTGATATAAAAAGGATTCTCCAGAGGCAAAGTTCATTAGAGGAATTGGAAGAAGAAAAATCAGCCATGGATTCAATCAAGTCTTTCAAGGGCTATGGTAAAGTAGACGAGGCCGAAGAGCGAGCTTTCAAGCAAAAGACACGAAGGCGTCTCATCATCCTCGTTATCTCCATTATCGTGCTGTTAGCTGTTATCATTGGCGCTGTTGCGGGGACTCTGATTCACAAGAGAAACAACTCGTCTTCCGACAATGTACCCCCAACTGATTTGACTCCGGCAGCTTCTTTAAAGGCGGTCTGCGGCGTGACTGAGTACCCACTTTCCTGCTACTCCAGCATATCTCCCATTGCATCCTCAAACGCTACTGACCCAGAGATCCTCTTTAAGCTGTCTCTGAAAGTAGTTATCGACGAGCTTGCTAAGTTGTCTCAATATCCCAAGAAGTTACAAGCTGAAACCGATGATGCCCAGGTGAAACATGCTTTAGATGTATGCGGATCCCTGTTTGATGACGCGTTGGATCGACTCAATGACTCGGCAACTTCCCTGGAAGTCGGGGATGGAGAGTCGATATTGTCGGATTCCAAGATCAATGACTTGAAGACTTGGCTAAGCACAACGATAACTGATCAAGACACATGCTTAGACAGCCTGGAGGAACTGAACACTACAGAGCACTTCAACGCCACACTTGTCCAAGAACTCAGAGCCGCCATGCAGAACTCAAGTGAATTTGCCAGCAACAGTTTGGCTATCGTTGCTAAAATCCTGGGTTTGTTGGCTGATTTCAATATTCCAATTCACCGTAGGCTGCTTGGGTTTGCATCGTCAGAGTTCCCAGCTTGGATTCATCCCACTGAAAGGAGACTATTGCAGGAATCCAAGCCTACACCAAATGTAATTGTTGCTCAAGATGGTTCTGGTCATTTCAAGACGATTAACGAGGCGGTGAAATTGATCGGAAAGAAGAACGAATCTAGATTTGTGATATATGTGAAGGAAGGCAAGTATGTCGAGAATGTAATCCTGGATAAACACAAGTGGAATGTCATGATTTACGGTGATGGCAAGACTAAGACTATAATTTCCGGCAGCAAAAACTTTGTTGATGGAACTCCCACCTTTGATACAGCAACTTTCGGTAAGCAATATTCTATCTTCATAGAACATGATATACCATCTAGTGTTTACTATTTGTTTTTATCAGTTTTAGATCTGTAGTTTCAGTTAGATTTGATTATCTATAGCAAACCCTCAATTTGTTTATGTTGTCTTTGTCCCTCGGATTTCTGAAATAATCATAAACCGGCATCCTGTGTGATATCTTATGAACAACACTGAAAAAAACCACATTGTGCTTGCATGCTATCATGTGAAGAAGTGTTGCACTTTCCTAAATTCTGCATTTCCCACTTTAACGTTAGTTGCCTCTGGTTCCTTCTGGAAATTTATGCTGGTTGCCCCACCATGTGCCTGACTCGTTTGTGAATTGTGATCTACAAGTGTCTTGCCCATGTGGTGCCAGTCATCTAAATGATTTAAAAGGCCCGCAACTGATATATAGTACCACCATGTGACTTGAATTATATACGTTGACAAGGCCTTGATGTATCTAAAGAAAATTGTTCTTCAACGCTCCCCTCAGGTCTCATCAATGTGGTCATTTCAAGTACATTTGATCATTGATGCCACTATGTAAAACTGATTTTTCAAGAGCTTGATTTTAATTAGATGGATAAAGAATCTGACCATACTTTGCGTGAATTACCAGCTGTGGCAGGAAGGGGGTTCATCGCAAAAGACATAGGGTTCGAAAACACAGCAGGTGCAGCGAAGCACCAAGCGGTAGCTATGCGGTCCCAATCCGATCGTTCGGTATTCTACCGCTGCTCATTCGATGCCTACCAGGATACGCTCTATGCTCATTCCAATCGTCAGTTCTACAAAGAATGTGACATTTTGGGCACAATCGACTTCATCTTCGGGAACGCAGCGGTAGTCTTCCAAAGCTGCAACATCATGCCAAGGCAACCACTGCCTAACCAGTTCAACACCATCACAGCTCAAGGCAAAAAAGACCCAAACCAAACACTGGCATTTCAATCCAAAGTGTACAATATCTGCATTAGGCAACCTTACTGCCAATACCTACCTTGGTAGGCCATGGAAAGAATACTCTACTACCGTTATTATGCAGTCTAGCATTGGGCCGTTCTTGAACCCTGTGGGATGGAGAATGGGTTACTAATGTTGACCCACCAAGCACAATCTTCTATGCAGAATATCAAAACACTGGGCCGGGGTCAACCGTGGATAAAAGGGTGAAATGGCCAGGTTACAAGTCCACTCTCTCGGAAGCTGACGCTGGCAAGTTCACAGTGGCTACGTTCATACAAGGTCATGATTGGCTGCCTGATGCCTCTGTATCGTATGAACCGGCTTTATGATTTTATAATACAGTCAAGGTTGCGGTTGAGATAAGGTCAAAGATCAAACACTGAGCTGATGGTTTTTTACCCTTTTTTTCCTTTCCTTTTTTGACTTAAAAAATGTAGAACTATATATATAATATGTTTAACTAATAACTGAAATCATTTTACACCCCGCATTTTCGTTCTGTATATTCTTTAACAATAACCCAAAAGGTTGTCTTCATAATTTAATTGTTTCCTTTTTCTCTTTCATCAAATAAAATCAGCCTATGTTCTAGTTCAAATGAGGGTTGTAGTTTGTGGCTAAGGTATGAGGTGGAGCGCTAAAGCTACGTGATAGAGTGAAATTCCTCCCCCAGTTGCAATTGGCGTAATGTGCAGAATGCCTTTGTCAAACCAATATACATTGCATCAGTTTGCAATTAACTAAAAATAATATATTTTGTCAGAGGAAGTTGTTAATTATTAATGTGTTCTCTCCCTTTTTAAAAAAAAATGAAGACTTGTCTTCTTCTGCACCTGGCAAACGGCAAACAAGCACATCCTAATTCATGACCAAGAAAGAAGCTGCAATGTCAGATGAGATTATGATGCTGAGTAGACAACATTTGGACACCATATTATTAATTCTAAGGAATGGATCATGCAAAAGATATGAACTGCCCTAAAGTAGTTTTTTATTCACTTTGATCTTATCTCACTTCTTAGTTTTTTAATTTCCTTTATGTCAGGCAGATCTACTACAGAGGCGATTCATCTACTTCGACGGCTTATGGAGAAATATAGGGAAAAAAATAGAGATCTTCACATGGCGTTCATTGATCTTGAGAGGGCGTATGATAGCGTTCCACGCGATACGATCTGGAAGACCTTGGAAACGAGACGGATCCCAACTACTTATATCCGGGTGATTCGTGATATGTACTGTAGATCTTCTTCATACGTCAGGACTACAGTTGGCGACACCGAGACTTTCCCGGTGGAAATCGGACTCCACCAAGGGTCGGCTCTTAGCCCTTACATCTTCGCCTTGATTATGAACGACGTCTATTGTGCGACTCCAGACAGTGTTCCATGGTGTATGTTTTTCGCTGACGACATTGTCCTAGTTGCTGAAATAAAAACTGAGCTGAATGGTAGACTGGCTACCTGGAAGACTGCCTTGGAAGAAAAAGGTCTAAGGATCAATATTGAAAAGACAGAGTATTTTTGTTCAAACTTTAGTGGGAACAAAAACGATGAAGATGTAGAAGTATGCATCGAAGGACACGTTCTCCCCTCAAAGGATTGTTTCAAGTATCTAGGGTATATGATACATAAAGATGGGGATGTAGATGATGACGTTACACACCGTATAAAGGCGGGATGGCTAAAGTGGAAAGCTGCAACTAGAGTTTTGTGTGACAAGAAGATGCCTCTAAAACTTAAGGGAAAATTTTATAAAATGACAATAAGACCAACGCTGTTGTATGGATCAGAATGTTGGACAATCAAGAAGGATCACTTAAGGAGGATGGAGGCCGCAGAAATGAGAATGCTTCGATGGGCATGTGGTAGGACTATGTGGGACATGACACCAAACTCTGCAATTAGGATGTCTTTGGGGGTGGTGCATGTATCCGAAAAATTGAGGGAGGGAAGACTACGGTGGTTTGGGCATGTTCTTAGGCGACAATTAGAGTCGATAACATTCGACGGTGCCAGAAGGAGAGGACGACCAAGGAGGAAGTGGGTAGAC